CACACACTTGTCTTTTTTTATGCATGTTTCATTTCACCCTTGAGGTGGACAGACCTCAAAGTGATCCCCAACAATTCCAACCCTTTGTATTCAAATTTCTATGTGATTCCTACTCCTGATGGAGACAGGAGCCGGAACATGGTGATGTGATAGACTGTCAGGCACGTGCTTGCACTGTTAGATGTGGTTCTCCTTGAAGAGTGAGTGTTCATATCATGGGAGGGTCTATGGGGAGAAGACTACCAGACAAACTATGGGAAGCCTCCAGCTGCTGAGAGCCACCCCTCCTCAACAGCCAGCAAGGGAACGGGCACCTCAGTCCTCCCACTGAGGGAGATGAGTTCTGCCAACAACCTGCAGGACTCTGGAAACAGATTTTTTCCCTAGTGGCTGCTCTGACTAGGCCACAGTTTTAGACAGTATGTAGACGGAAGGCTGGTAAGACTGAAGTGAAGAGCCCAAGTAAACAGTGCTGGGCCTCTGATCTACAGAAACCATGAAGCGACAAGTATCACTTAAGTGGCCAAGTTTGTGGCAGTGTGTTAGGCACCAACAGAACTATTAACACACCCTATCCCTGGACATGGACATGGCTTTAGATCGTTTTTTGTTTTGACTCAGCACTTTGAGATGTGAGTCCACTGCTTTCCGATTTCCAGTACTGCTGCTGGAGAATCTGCTTATTGTCATATGTGGATTTATTCCTGCATATTCTGATGTGCTTCCTTTACCTATGGATTCATCCTCTTCGTTGATTATAAAAAAACTCTCAGCCATTCTCTCTTCAGATATTGTCTCTCCTCAATTCTCTTTTCCCTTCTGAAACTGTGATGATGTCAGATGTTCTCCTTCTACTTTCCATGTTGCTTAACTGTTCTTTCTCTCTCTACTTCCGTGTTTCTCTATGCTACACTCTGAGTAATTGTTTCAGATTTATTTTCCATTTACTGATTCTTTTTTAAATTATATTTAACCCATTAGTCAACACATCCCTTTCATTTTGTATTTCAGCGATTATATGATCTATTCTAAATGCTTTATTTGGTTCTTTCTGGAATTACCTGGTCATTTTTCTTTCTGTCTGTCTTATATGTATACATATACATACACATGTAATAGTTTATTTTTCCATCATCTTGTGCATTTTCCCATCTCAGTTGCAATCCCCTGGGCTCCCTGTCACCAAGTCCCCCATGTGCCATCATCACAGTACCGGTCATTTTCCTTAGTCTCTACTACCTGCACATTTTTTGGATCCCATTTTTTTCCTTCGAACATTTTCTACACTGTTACTTAATTTGCTTTAACTGATAATTCCAAAATCTTAAAGCCCTGTGGGGTGGGAGATGGGTGGGGGAGGTATATGCCGAAATCTATTTGTTGTTTCGGTGCCTGTCAATCCTAGTCACTTGGTTTTGCTCCTGTCTGGCCAGCTTTGATTGTGAGTTCATATTTGCTAGCTTCTAATCTGTGAGAAATAGTCCTGTAATAAACATCATTTTAGTGCCTCTCATGAGTTTTGGACTTAATGTGGAGTCTCTGGTTTGACCCCTAAATTTTGGGGGCCCAAAGCTTATTAAGTCCCCAGAATTCAGAATGTCAGCATTCATTCTAAAAGCAGCTCTGCCTACCTTAAGTTCTGATTGCATTTCCTACAATCCAATGTCAGTTTTATCTCATGGGCCTGTAGAGTTTTTAGTTTTCAGGTAGTTCCTGGTTGGGAAAGAATATCAATTAGGGATTAGAAGATCTCCTTTCTTATGAGCCAAGCACTGTAATAATAAATCTGGTTTGCCTGGGCTGTTTTTGTGCAGCTTTTTTTTTTTTTTTGCTTGTTTTGCTTGTTTGTTTTTGAGAAGAAAGGTCCTCCAGTGTACTGTCAGTCAACCCTACTATCCTAAATACTTTTTTTAAAGTATGAAATAAAGTAAGTTCTGAGTACCTG